GATAATGAAGAGGAACAACGTGATGACGACGAAGATGTTGCGGATGTAGGAGTTGGTATTGCAAGAAATGTGCTTGTACAAGGGCAGGCGAAAAGAGCTAATATAATACAATTTTAGTTCGAAAATATTTAATCGAACACATCAATAAAATAAATGGAAAAACAAAATAAAATTATTATTAAACAACACTTAACTAATACATGCAAAAAAGGAAACGAAAATATAGAAAATACCTAGTGGAAAAAAACATTAACAACAAATCTCTAAAGAAAACTTTCTAATCAGCCTCACATGTAGCTCGAGCAGCTCTTAGTTCTAAACTATTCCCTAAGAAAAAAAAATCCACAAGTCACCAACTAATAAATATTTATGACTTGATATTATTTTGAGTTCTGTAGCAAGCAGAAAGGTCTTTTAAAGCCTGCGCTATTGCCTCTTGGGCTTCGGCCTGTCTCTTGACCATTTCTCTCAGTTTTCTCCTTTCTTCCATTACCTCTTCATGCATTTTTGCCATGGAAACCACTTTCGCAGGCTTTTCAGTAGACTGCCGACTGCGTTTCCTGGCTGGTCTACTGGATGATGTTAATGGTGGAAAAGACTTGGGCAAATGGGCAGCTCTGTCTGTTTCTATGCTGGAACGGTGTGTTCTTGGTGGTGGTAGGCGATTGAATGGTTTCAATGGTGGAGGAGATGGAGGAGATTTGGGCAAACAGATAGCTCCTTCTGTTCCTGTGCTGTTGGAGGGATGTGCCTTTGGGGGTGGTAAGCCATTCTCTTGGCCTGTCAAGAGTTGTGGTTGTCGCAAAGGCAGGTCGCTGTAAATAACATTTTGATAATTTTGTAAATACTTATCTTTATTGCAATTCTACACACAATTATCCAATTCGAATATAATCTTACATGCACTAATCGACATCAACTCTTTTTTTAGTGTTATAGTTGTAATTACCATTCCTAATTCTGCATTTCCATCCCCAGTTACTGATCTCCAACCCATTGAATTTATTAGCCGTTTTTCTGTGCCTCGATTCTTAACTGGGCAGCTTTTGATTTTGTTTTTGACTTCCATCGGCCGATTGCCTACAACAATATTTAAAATTATTAACTTATAGAATTATAGAATGACATTACACCTAAAGGGTATATGAGTCACATAAAAAGATACCATTTTCGATTTGTCAACGCTTCTCAGCCCAAATCTCGTGGAATTTAATTTTTCGACCAATTCCTCCTACAATTTTGCATTCTGCCTAGCATCACCATTCATATGTTTAAATTAGGGCCTGAAAATTGTTGGATGTTCCTCTCCAAAATTGACGATGGTGTTCCATTGTTATCATCTGCATTACGTACATGAAAATATGAGTGATTATGCCAAAGCCTTGGAATTGATTTTAGATATAACTTACCCATGATATTTCGTTGATTTTCAATACGGTCACTCAACATCCTTAATACAGACGATACAGAATACGCACTCTGTTCTCCCAAGAGAACAGACATAATCCAAGAACAAATATAAGGGTATCAGATAGCGAAATTGAATGGGTGGAGAAATACAAGTATTTGGGACTAATATTGGACAGAAAGCTGAAATGGGATGATCACGTGGTGTATGTTAGTGGTAATTGAACACCCTGTATATCACAACGTTAAAAAAAAAAGATTAATATTTAAGCTATCCATGTACCAATAGACATCGTCCCTAAAACTTGGTATTTTTGCAAACGCATGGAACTTCATGTTGTAGGTACTTGATATCACTATGACAAACAATTTTGTAACTGTCTAGTTAAATATCAATTAAAATACAATTTCCAAGAAAATGTTACCAGTTCCAGAATCTTTTCTCTGGATCTCATCGAATAGAGATACCCCAAAAGTACCAGTTTGGTGTGCAATCTCTATTACGAAAAATTACAGACCATTTTCATTATTGAACCAACGATCACAGAAATTGTATACACTGTTAAGACAGGAAGGTATCTTAGATGATATCTATTTCCAGCAGGATGGTGCCTCCACCTCATTATTCTTTAATAGCAAAGGAATCACTAGATATGACATTTGGGGAAAGACGGATATGGAGGTCCTATAGAATAGACACCTTACTCTCCTGACTTGAGAGTTCCAGACTTTTTTCTCTGGAGTTGAGTCAAGGAAAGATGCTGTAATCTTTTGCTCAAATAGCCTGAAAGATCTTAAGCGTATTTGTTATGCCATTGAAGCGATTCTCCAGGAAATGTTACACAAGTTATTCACCCATTCACTGATCCATAAATGCCTGGAACAGAAGTTTTTAATAACTTTTTATTGGGCAAACATAAGTTCTAAGCTTTGTAAATATGCGTTTGCAAAAATACCAAGATTTCGATTTTTTACCTCTAAAACTTCAAGTTTTAGGGACTTAGTCTATTCGACATGGATACCTTAAACATTATTCTTTTTTTTGACGTTGTGATATACAGGATGTTTCATTAAAAATAGTGGAGAATTTCAATGTTGAAAAACGGATTTTTGTCACTTGCCCTGTTTCAAAAAAATTGGCAACCTACTAGAAACAAACATTAGACCAAGAGAAATCAAATAGCGCAAACCGCAGGTAGCTAGCACACCTGGTTTAAAACTTATACCCATTTAAAATGGTTCATTTTCGGCTGGGACACCCTGTATATAAAGGACTAGTTAGATCCCACTTTGATTATGGCTGTCAAGCCATGTATCATATGAGTAAGATGAATATGAACAGATTGGATCGCATCCAGTACCAAGCCTCAGAGAAGGGTGACTGGCTGTATGAAGAGTACAGCCATAATGGCGCTCTTATCCGAAGCGGCTGATATACCACTGGCTAAATGAAGAAATCTTCTTAGTATAAGATTGATGCTCAGGAAAATGGCTTCAAAAGGGAATGAGGTTAACAAGAGGATAATCAACTTCTATGCGTTATACAACCAGGACCCTCCTTATTGGCAGGCCAAGGGCGCTCCGGCGATTATGGAGGGAGCCGATTTTGTGCTTGCCCATATAGAAATATTAGATAAATCGGATAATCTACCATGTTACGGAGAAGATATGAAAAATAGAATGGGTTGATTCGAACATACAAAAGGATAGCCTAGATGCTCAAGTGAAACTGCAGGAAATATATATAGATTATCAACATATCTACACAGATGCATCTTTGGACCCTATAACAGCACAGTGCGGAATTGGAATTTTCAATAACACAAATAGATTTTCAATAATAGGAAAATGTCAGGATTCAACTAATATTTGCTCAGCAGAGGTGTTGGCCATCTATGCAGCCTTGAATACCTTGGAGAATGATAAGATAAAGGTTGTCCTGATATCGGATTCCAAGAGTGCCATCGAGAAAATAGTCAGAGCTGGTAGGTATTCATAGACCTTCAGATAGAAGCACGTTAAGAACTAGGAAAAAAATTCTAGAAATGCAGGATAAGGGTCATTCAGGCATAATAGGAAATGATAAGGCAGATGACCTTGCAGGAAGGGGCCGAAGGGCTAACGTCTTTGTAAATAAAACATTATACTATAAGGATCTGGCCAGAATAACTGAGGCGGCTGTAGAATATTCCAATAAGGACAGAAATCATTGGAACCAGTATCACAAATTAATGAAGGAACCTCTATGAATACCATGGTTCAGTAAAATAGAGAAAATAAACTGCTGGACAAATGAAACGGAACAAGGGAATTTTTAGTTCAAATTTGGATTCCAATATTACGCGAACCAAAGAAGAAATCAATAAGTGGTTTGCGTAATTTAAAAGATAATTTCCCAAACCGCTCATTGATATCTTCCCAAGTTCGCGTAATATTGGAATTTGAAGCTAACCTAAACATTCGTTTGTTCCGTTTCATTTGTCCAGCAGTTTAGATAGACAGAAAGCTAGTGTTTTTTGCAGAATGAGAACGGCACATTGCTTCATACCAAAACACCTTCAAGAACTTGGTATGCAGGACAGTGGGTATTGTGAATGTGAAGAAGTAGACGATTTAAATCACGTAATATTGAATTGTGAGCTTAGTAGAGACCTGACAGGCTTTATACAAATTTGATTGGAATGAAGGAAAGTCCGAGAAAAAAGTGGAATCCTGCTGTTTTCAAATTGCGAGACGACAAGGAGCCATAAGAAACTGAGAAGAAGAAGAAGAAGAAGAAGTAGCAATAGTGGTATCACTTAAAATATACACCCTGTATAATTATTATTATGTTTTTGGTTGAACAAAAAATGGAAGATTCATCAATCATCCATCGGCCATTGGAGCTATATTCAATGATTATCCAAACTTTCAACTATTATGAGTTTCTAGAGAATTTAATTGTCTTTAATTTAAGCCTAATTACTTTAGGATCAGATTGAAATTAATAAAATTATGAGGCAGAATGAACTTGCAAATTGAAAAATGCTTCCACTCTGAATAAGTATTTGGGTTTTGTTTTTATCAATCTTAAGTAAAAATAGGGTTCTTTTTTCTTAATTTATTATATAATACTGATAAAATAATATATTGTGCCTTAATAAGAAATAAAATATAAACAATAATACAAATAGATACCTACATCTATATTTGTTGATGTTTTATGAGTGCCACCAATAATCATATATGTGCATTTTATAATAATAAAGAATAAAAATAAAGAGACGTTAAAACATTAGCTCAGAAGTTTGGGTCCATTATCAAAATAAGGTAAAGGTAATACCAAACTTGGTAATACTCAATATTGAAAATTTTGAGAGTCTGGGGTTTGATTCAATATGACTGACTAATCATTAAGATCTTAACCTACTTAAATTTATTTTAAAATAATCAGCATTTGTACAGAAAAGGTGAAATTTTTACTATTGATTGGAACTGGTTTACCTACAACTTAGCAATGAAAATAAAAATCAAAAAAGTTTAGGCAAAAAAAAAGAAAGAAAGTGTGCAACCAAGTGAAACTGCAAACTCGTGCTCTACCAATTTATTTTTGATTAAATGCGCAAAATTTCTTCAACCCATTTCTTATCCAACTCGAACAACTCAGCTTCAGTGCTGGCCTGATTTTCCCGACTCAAAATCGGAAAAGGGTTGCCTTGGTGGGCGCTGCGCGGTACCGTGGTCGTTGTATCACCAAATGTTTGAACGTGTTGAAACTGGACTTTACGCCTGCGCCCCCTCACCGCAACTGCATCAACTTGTGGTTGAGTAGTTTGAATTGAACCAACAACTTGCGGAGGATTTTCCAGAAAAGTCGTGGTACCGCTAAATGTTTGCTGGTACCTCCTCCTGCGTCTCATAGTCGGTCTGGGTTGTTCAATACCAGCAATATTATTGTTTTCATCCATTTGAGGTAGGGCAACAGCTTGAGCCCCATTATCCACCTCGGTTGTAATTTCTGTCAAGAATTTTTCAAAATCAAAAGAAATATCAGCAATATTTGGCTGATTATTCCAAATGGGTCTGCAACTGGAAACCCTCTCGCGGTACTGCCAAACTTCCAATTCAAATCCGCTGCGATTGGTTCTGCGATTTTGTTCCGCCAAATTGTACTTGGCGGCTGTTAAGTTGGATGGAGATGGAAAAGTTGGTAGATCGCATCTGTTCAAGGCGATAGTAAATTGAGGCATGATGTCATTCATGACGTACATGGTGCCGGGATTGAAATAGTAGTTTTGTTTCAATTGCTCGCGTACCCCGAGGAGTTTAGCTACGTGGTGCCCGTAGAAACTTGTAAAGTACGGATTCGGCTGGAAAACGATGTTACTAAAAGCCGAGTACCATTCACACTTTAAAGTGTACCTGAAAACGAAAAAATATATTTCTTTGATAATAATTATTTAATAACACTTACCGACTGCATATTGTAATACCAGTTTCTAGCTTCGAATCATTTGGCCTGCCTCTCTTAGCGAAACTTTTCCTGGCAATGGTACTTTCTTGTTGGCTAAATTTCAATACCAAAGTTACCATAAATCCTACCGGTGGGGAAGTTACAGGCGTTACAATAATATCAACTGGCTAAAAACAAGCATAAATTCAACGCCTTATACAACAATAAAGATATTGTACCGTAAGCTTTACTGGTCCATTTTTTCCTGGACAAAATAGCATACTGTAATCGTCCGGAATCGGATCCAGATCGATCCAGTGGGTTCCGTTTCTGTTGTGGCGACATTCCAAACTGAAGCGGCCGCAAATGCACAGGCTTTGCCTTTTGTCCGTGCTGTAAAACGGCCAGTAGCCGGTGGTCAGCACGAAGCCTGTAGGGATTATTTGGTTCATTATGTCGAAGAGCTACAACAGAGGAAAATATCGATGGGAATCGGGAAAACTTATTGTAATTGATAATTGATGATTTTTTTGAAAAAAGTATTTAGTTTGCTTTGCCACAAAGTAAGTTCATGTCATTAATTCTGCCATCTATTGGAAAGATGCTTAACTAGTAACTGAACGGTGTCGCCATCTATTAGAGAGATATATAAACCTGAATGTTGTTGCCAAAATGACTGGAGTTATTATTAAATTATCTCATTTTTTTTCCTGTCTCAATTTTTATCCGTTCCAGGCTCTTGGATTTGTCTCCTTTTTCAAAGGACCCCTCACTTTTCTCATGTAAAATGGCTTTCGGCCAACTTTTTTAAAAATTTGGTATGTTGTAGTTCTTGATGTTCTGAACAAATGTCTCTATAGGCTCAATTCGATCCTATGTCCAGTTTCCGAGATATCGGTGCTCAAAGTTGGACAAAGGAGAATTTTAATAATTTTCCTATAATTTTTACAATAGCCTATTATAAATCCAAGCCTTACTTTTTTGATAAAATTATTAGATGAGAATTTTGCTTATACATAGTATGGTCTTTTAAATATGAAATCCATTTTTCATACATGGTGAACCAAAAGATTTTAGAGGTTTATTTTATACAATTCAAAAGTATGCAAAATTATCGTCCACCATTTTGTGCCGATGTTATGTATCTTAAAAACAAACGGCCTGATTTTCACAAAACTCTGACATTTTTTATATATCGATAGCCTTAGAAAAATGACGCAATAAATTGTTTGGAGGGTGTAACATAACAATGGGTATTATGGGGTTTCATAATTTCCAAACTGTGAGGAATGCGAGTTCCAGAGCGTACCGATTTTCAATACGGGCTGTTTGAAATTACTCTGGACCTTACTATATAGAAACTGACCAAGATAGCTCTTTGAGCCATACATACCTTAGTCCAAAAGTTAACAAATAAAAAGTTATACTTAGGGTGTTAAATTATCAATTTAATTTTCGAAATTGTTATTTAACATGAAAACTTTCTAAACATTTTCGATGAATTTAGGTGAGCTGTTGTGTGCTTCGGTAGAAAGTAATCTGCTTAGTTTTCGAGATACAGGGTATCAAGATTTGGAAAAAAAATCGTTTTTCGGCTCAAAACTCCCTTTTTTTGTTGGCAGTTTTGTTTGTGATAACAAAAGGTATCTTATGACTGTAACATGACTTGCTTAATCTGAAAAAAATATATTGAAGTTATAAAAAAACTACTTTCACCAACGTACTGGGGCACCACTGGAATAGTTACGGCATGTCTAATTAAGTCAAAACATACATTTTGTTATGACAAACCAACCTGCCAAGTTTAAAGAAAATCAAGAAACGGATTTTTGAGTACTCTTTATCCTAGAAGTTTGATCTCCCGTTTCAGAAACACCCTGTATATTCTGAGACAAAAGTGTATAAGGTTTGGATATCTTATTTTCAGTAGTCTTGGATATATTGACAGCTGGAAATATACTACCTTATACATTTTTGTCTTGATTCTCCACGTAGCGCATTCTACATATTCAGTCAAATTGATATCGGTTGTGTTATCCTCACTTGAATTAATTCAAAATTAGAAAGTTTTCAAGTTAAATAAAAAAATCGAAAATTAAATCGATAATTTACCACCCTGTAACTTTTTACTTGTTAACTTTTCGATTAAGGTATGTATGGCTCAAAGGGCTATTTTAGTCTTCAGTTTCTATAGTCCAGAGATTTCCCCGTAATTTCAACACCCCATACTTCTCAGTTTGGAGACCATTAAACTCCATAATACCCATTTAGTTATGCTACACCGTCCAAACAATGTATTACGTCATTTTTCTTTGGCTATCGATATATAAAATTGTCAGAACTTCGTGAAAAGCTGGCCGTTTGTTTTTAAGATACATAACATCGGTACAAAATGGAGGGCGATAATTGCATAAGTACTTTTAAATTGTAATAAAATAAACCTCTATATAAATATTTTAGTTCACCGTGTATAAAAAATGAATTGCGCATTTTAAAGACCATACTATAAGCAAAATTCTCATATAATAATTTTATCAGAAAAGTAAGGTTTTTATTTATAATAGGCTATTTTTAAGATTATAGGAAAATGTTTAAAATTCCCCTTTGTCCAACGTTTCAGCACCGATATCTCGGAAACTGAACATAGGATCGAATTGGGCCCATGGAGATATTTGTCCAGAGCATCAAGGACTACAACATACTAAATATTTAAAAAAATTGGCCGAAAGCCATTTTGCATAAGAAAAGTGAGGGGTCTTTTCTCTAAATAAAATGAATTCAAGAGCCTGGAATAAAAAAAAATACTTTCTTCGTGAATGAGAACCAATTTGTGCTCCAATTCTTCTCTCCATTTCTAAATTATTGTCAAACTTTCTCTAGTTTTAGTTTTTGTTTAATTATTCTTGAATTTTTGCTTCATGAAGAGAATTTGAGAATCTCAAATAGAGGATCTTTTTAAATCATAAGGTAGGTACCTTCTTACTAAAACTATGAACTTTCAAATTTTTGACGTCATTGCTAATTTCTGCTGATAGTGATGTCTTTCGCAGGCCCAGAATTTGATGGAAAGGGAGTTAAGGGAAGTATGACACAATTGACACATCACATAACCTAGCATAATCAGATTATGCTTGAATAGTCTTGCCAAAAATTGCCTCATATTATTCGGAACGCCAGTTTCTTGTTTGGCTTTAGCCGCACTGTAATGGGACCGGAACGTGAAACCCAACCCACAAGTACAGAGTGGAGTGCAGAACTCGGGTACGGTATAGAGCGAAGAGCAACACTCGACTTGTATCCCAAATTATACTAGATTTATGAGAGAGGTACTAGCGTACTAGGTGAAACGTAATTGTGCTAGATCTACACCATTTCAACCTCAATTTCTGAAAAAGTAACTTTTATTTAGGAAAATGTAAAGTTATTTTCGGAAAAAGTCAAATCAATTTCAGAAAAAGTAAAGTTAATTTCGGAAAAAGTAAATTCATATTCGGAAAAAGTAAATTCAAATTCGGAAAACGTAAATTAAAATTCGAAAAAACTACATTCAATTACGGAAAAAGTAATGCTATTTTTTAGAATAATTCGAATTGACAAAAAGTAAATTTAGCAGTGACTATAAACCTCCAGTCGAAACCGTACTCTAATGGGTTCGATTCCAATCAGTGTACTTGAATTAGGTTCTGACATATATTGGTTCTGTATTATTTTGTAGCTCTGATGATGCTCATAGGAGCGAAACACATGTCACTATTTATTAAGTGAATAAAATAATAAACAATCTGTATGTAGACTTGGTAATTTTTTTTTTATTGTTTAAAAATCGGGTCTCTTTGAGAAATATGGACAAATTTTTCGATTTTCTAAATAACATTATTTTCTCCGTAATTAAATGTATTTTTTCCAAATTTGAATTCACTTTTTCTGAATTTGAATTTACTTTTTCCGTATTTGAACTTACTTTTTCCGAAATTAACTTTACTTTTTCTGAAATTGATTTGACTTTTTCCGAATATGACTTTACATTTTCCTAAATAAAAGTTACTTTTTCCGAAATTGAGGTTGAAATGGTGTAGTACAATTGTACTAGAAATAGCATCCCTGGGAACTATAAGTGCAAATGAGCTGAAATTCAGGGATTGTAGTCCCTTGAAAGGGATAAAATTCAGTGAAAGTTTCAGCTTTCTATCTATAATAGAAAAAAAGTTATGACCTTTTAAAGTTTCCCAAAATCTAAATCATAAGGTAGGTAGGTACCTTCTTACTAAAACGATGAAATTTCAAAAAATTTTCTGTCGAGATTTTGTATCCTAATGGTCAATTAACATCCCCCAAACTCCATACACTAAATTATTCTCAGATTTGAAGCCGAAATCTATGAAAAAAAGCACTCAGAAAAATTGAAAAATTGATAAATCACCCCAAATTGCTTAACACGATTTTATCTCAGGAACTATTAGTGCAAATGAGCTGAAATCTCTAGGGATTGTAGTCCTTTGGAAGGGATAAAATTCAGTGAAAGTCTCAGCTTTCTATCTATAAAAGAAAAAAAGTTATGACCTTTCAAAGTTTTCCAAAATCTAAATCATAAGGTAGGTACCTTCTTACTAAAACGATGAAATTTCAAATTTTATTTTGTCGAGATTTTGCATCCTAATGGTGAATTAACATCCCCCAAACTCCATACACTAAATTATTCTCAGATTTGAAGCCGAAATCAATGAAAAAAGGCACTCAGAAAAATTGAAAAATTGATAAATCACCCCAAATTGATTAACTTGATTTTATCTCAGGAACTATTAGTGCAAATGAGCTGAAATCTCTAGGGATTGTAGTCCTTTGGAAGGGATAAAATTCAGTGAAAGTCTCAGCTTTCTATCTATAAAAGAAAAAAAGTTATGACCTTTCAAAGTTTTCCAAAATCTAAATCATAAGGTAGGTACCTTCTTACTAAAACGATGAAATTTCAAAATTTTTTCTGTCGAGATTTTGTATCCTAATGGTCAATTAACATCCCCCAAACTCCATACACTAAATTATTCTTAGATTTGAAGCCGAAATCTATGAAAAAAGGCACTCAGAAAAATTGATAAATCACCCCAAATTGCTTAACACGATTTTATCTCAGGAACTATTAGTGCAAATGAGGTGAAATCTCTAGGGATTGTAGTCCTTTGGAAGGGATAAAATTCAGTAAAAGTTTCAGCTTTCTATCTATAAAAGAAAAAAAGTTATGACCTTTGAAAGTTTTCCAAAATCTAAATCATAAGGTAGGTACCTTCTTACTAAAACGATGAAATTTCAAAAATTTTTCTGTCGAGATTTTGTATCCTAATGGTCAATCAACATACCTCAAACTCCATACACTAAATTATTCTCAGATTTGAAGCCGAAATCTATAACTATAAGTGCAAATGAGCTGAAATTTTCAGGGATTGTAGTCCTCTACTGGGATAAAATTTAGTGAAAGCTTCAGCTTTCTATCTATAATAGGAAAAAAGTTATGACCTTTCAAAGTTTTCCGAAATCTAAATCATAAGGTAGAATACTAAAACGATGAAATTTGAACTATTGCCGGCTCTTGATTCTCTGGAAAACTTTCCTGGAGCCAGTTAAGAGCCGGCAACAGTCGAAATTTGAACATTTATCAACTCTGGATTTGCATGAGAATTTTTCTAAGAGCATTCAAAGCCCAAGAGTTGATAATGATCAAAATGAGACATGGATTATAAAAGAGTGAGTTTTACTCATTAGTCTGATTCACTCATTGATACACTTTTAAATGAACATTGAGTGAGTTCCACTTAGATTAGAATCGTATTTGAACGATTCATTTATGAGTTAATTATAGCGGAGCTCGCTCCGCTCGCCCAAATGAAGAAAATTGAAGAGCCTGGAATACTCATGTGTGTAAAAACATGTCAACCTATTTTCGCTTAAATTCTTATTTCCAATTTTCAATTACATACTTCCAAATTTTTACAATCTCAATTCTCGTCTCTTGAACTTCTGCTTTCTTGAAAACTTCTCTGGACATAGAGAATTTAAGAGCCTAGAATGGAGGAAATATTCAAATTCCTACTCATCAATTCAATTTCTTCTTAAATTTTCATGTATTTTGTCAAAATTCGGAGAATTCAAAAGCCTTGAATAGACAAAATACTTACTTATCAATTATTGATTTTTCTTCTTTCCATATTCCAAAAAACCGAATATTAGAATTAATAAAATCCAATGCAGTTTTCAAAATAGTGATTCATCAAAAGTCACATTGCTAATACACAAAAGCTCTATCAATTCAGCCATAAAAAAATATCACTAAAACATTCCATTATGGACTGATAACGTATTGAACTTTGACTTTATCAAAGAAAATGCACCTGCCTTTGTTCAAAAAACCAAACTTTACCTGGGAATTATAAGTTGCGCAATCAAATCAATTACCAATTAAATGCAAAAAAGTATTTAAACCAACTTCACTCTTCAATTGTGAGTTAATTTTGTAAAAAAACCAAGCAGAATTCTTACCTTTGCCGCAGTGAATTCGTGCAAATCAGAGTTGCAAATCATCAAACCAACTTCCAAACTTTCCATCAAAACTTTGGAAAACGACTCTTCGTACATCCAAATTTCAGGATAATCGTTAAAATTATTCATTTTCAATTGATTCCTTTTTTCGACAAAATCTCGGTAGGTACTGCTTGATCGGTACGGTCGCGAAACACCAAGAGGGAATTTTCATGTATGATGTAACAGGAGCGGAGACGAATGAATTTTTTTGCATTGCGGATTTCTTAAGGCGATTGTTTAAATAATGCATAATTACGCTACGCCTCTGAACTATAGGCACCTTACAAGTGGAACCTTATCGCGAAAATATAATGCATCAGAATCGATGTTGATAAAAAAGAACTATTTCAATGGTTTTCTTGGTAAATGTTAGAAACAATAAAAATTTAATTAGTTTTTGTGGCGCAACGTCATATTTTCGTTTATTGATTAACAAATAATGCATTAATTTTTTAACAAAATAATATTATTTCTAATTGACTTTAAGACATTATTATTATCTTTACACAATATTTGAATTATTCCTTATTTTGCTTCTATTGAATAAAAATCAATCAATCTAGAGCTATAAGGTTTTCAACTTAAAATTATTGTGAAATAAAATTCTATGTTAGATGGAACATTTTTGATTTAAGTATTTTTTTTGAACCCCCCAATATAGGGTGTGAGCAAAAAAACCTTTTGCCAAAATATTCCTTTTTAATTATTATTACCTATAAGAACAATGAACAATAATTATTGATTATATTACAATTATTATTAATTATATAACCTTTACAACATTCATTTATTTGTGCTTCTATGTTTATCACATAATTATTTATTATTGTAACAAGTTCCTATATTTTAGGGAGGCAATTTTTTTTACATTTTCTAGTATCTACCTACAATGTTTGGTTTTCGAGGAGGTGTCTCAGAAAAAATCAAAGAGAAAATCTCGTTTTTGGCTCTGTATTTTTTCCCAAATTCTGACAAGGTTAGGAATAATTGCACATATCTTAATTGAAATATGAGAAAATTATATATCATCAAAAAGAGCATTAAATTCTCTATAAATCTGTGCTAATTTGGTTCTAATAGCTCTAATACTTTTTCTAAGTAATTGTGCCTCAAAGTTACACTTTTGTTGTTTATACAAATCCAACTATTCTTCTGAGACACCTTCCTTTGGGCCAACAAATCCCCTCATAGAATTGTATATTTACTTCGGAAAATGAAAATTATTGTCTTCGTTATTATCTTCGTTACAAGTTTTTCAGTCGACATTTACAAAAATTTACAGTCAAAAGCTAATTATTACACACATATAGATAATTTCGACATAAGCGCAACTGGGCTTCAAATTTGAGGGGTGCTGCAAAAAAAAGTTGGTTTCACGAGGGTTTGTAGATACTTAGGTACGTCATCATTTTTTATGTCTGAAATTTCAAAAAAACATATAGTTCGTTGCATGGCACGAAAGTTTTCACTAACGTCATCGATGACGTCATAACTTAGAGAAAAAGTTAAGTCATAGATTAATTCATCGAGCAAATTATTGTTTTGTAATACATTTTTTAACTTAGAATAGAGTTTATTCAGTTATCTAAAAATATATAAATGAATTTCTCCTGGAGTGATTTTTCACTGGAAAATTTTGAAATTTTCCTCTAATGAGCTCCTAACTTTCCTCTTTCTCCTGTAAAAATTTCAAAATTTTCCCTTTGTCAGTTTTCCAGAAAAAAATTAAAATGTAAGAGGTGAATTTTTCCTTAATTTTGCCTAAATAAGTCAATTTTGTTTGAATTTTTCCTGAAATGATTTTTCATTGAAAAATTTCGAAATTTCCCTATAATGAGCTCCTCATTTTGCTTTTTTTCCTGGTAAATGTTCAAAATTTTCCCTTTGCCAGTTTTCCAAAAAAAAAATTTAAATGTGAAAGGTGAATTTTCCTTAATTTTGCTTAAATAACTCAATTTTCCAGAATTTTTTCTGGAGTCATTTTCCACTAGAAAATTTTGAAATTGTCTCATATTGAGTTCTCACTTTCCTCTTTCTTCTGGAAAAATTCCACAATTTTTGCTTTGTCAGTTTTCTAGAAAAAAATTGAAATGTGAAATGATGAATTTTGCTTAAAAAAGTCAATTTTCCAGAACTTTCCTCTTGACTTTCCTTGGAGTGATTTTTCACTAGAAAATTTTGAAATTTTCCTATAATGAGCTCCTCATTTTCTTCTTTCTCTTGACAAAATTTCACAAGTTTTGCTTTATTAGTTTTCCAGAAATAAATTAAAATGTGAGAGGATGAGTTTTTCTTAATTTTACTTGAAAAAGTTATTTTTTCAAAATTTTTCCTGAAGCGATTTTCCATTGGAAAATTTTGAAATATTCTCATAATGTGCTTCTAAATTTCCTTTTTTTCCTCTTTTACCAGTTTCCAGAAAAAAATTGAAATGTGAGAGGATGAATTTTCATTAATTTTACTTGAAAAAGTTAATTTTCCAGAAATTTCCCTGGAGTGATTTCTCACTAGAAAATTTCGAAATTTCCCTATAATGAGCTCCTCACTTTCCTCTTTTTCCTGGAAAATTTTCAAAGTTTTCCCTCTGCCAGTTTTCCAAAAAAAAGTTAAAATGTAATAAGGTGAATTTTCCTCAATTTTGCTTAAATAAGTCAATTTTCCAGAATTTTTTATAGAGTGATTTTTCATTGGAAAATTTTAAAATTTTGCTTAATGAGCTCTTTACTTTGCTCTTTTTTCTGGAAAATTTTCACTATTTTCCTTTTGTCAGTTTCCCAGAAAAAAATTAAAATGTAGGAGGTGAATTTTGCCTGGAAAAGTCAATTTCCACTGGAAAATTTTGAAATTTTCCTATAATGAGCTCCTCACTTTTCTCTTTCTCCTGGAAAAAATTCACAATTTTCTTTTCGCAGATTTCTAGAAAAAAATTAAAATATAAGAGGGTGAATTTTGCTCAATTTTGCTTAAAAAAGTTGGTTTTCCAAAATTTTTCCTGGAGTGATTTTTCTCTAGAAAATTTTGAAATTTACGTAAAATGAGCTCCTCATTTTCCTCTTATTCCTGGAAAATTTTCAAAATTGTTTCTTAGCCAATTTTCCAGAAAAAAATTAAAATGTAAGAGGGTGAATTCTCCTGAAAAAGTCAATTCTTCAAAATTTTTGCTGGAGTGATTTTTCACTGGAAAGTTTTGAAATTTTCCTATAATGAGCTTTGGTCTATAGCAACACCCAAATTCAAGCGATTTCGAACTTTTTGGCTTGTAGCAACATGGAATTTTTTGTAGTAACACCCAAATATAGGCTATTTTGAGGTTTTCGCTTTGTAGCAACAGGAAATTTTTGAAGCAACATCCAAATTTGACAGTTTAATTCCTAGATTTTGATGTTAATGAAATTCTCAGGTTGTAGCAACATTAACATTTTTGTAGCAGCACCCGATTTTGGAGGGTTTGGTCTGTAGCAACACCCAAATTTGGGCGATTTCGAACTTTTTGGTCTGTAGCAACACGGAATTTTTTGTAGCGACACTCAAATACAGGCAATTTTGTGGTTTTTGGTCTGTAGCAACACAATTTTTCTTTAGCAACGTCCAAATTTGACAGTTTAATTCCTAGATATTGATGTAGATGAAATTTTCAGGTTGTAGCAACACATTGTTTGTAGGAACACCCGATTTTAGGGGTTTTGATCTGTAGCAACACCCAAATTCGAGCGATTTCGAACTCTTTGGCCTGTAGCGATACGGACTTTTTTGTAGCAATATCCAAATATAGGCGATTTCGAGGTTTTTGATCTGTAACAATACGAAATTTTGTTGCTACAAACTCTTAAATATTCAAATTCGTGTTGCTAATTTTTTTTATGTGTAGCAACATCGAATTTGTTGGTTGCTACATCACTACATATTGTTGCTACAAATGCCGCATATAGGAAAAAAATTAGTGTTGCTACACAAATTTCGAGTTTATTTTTCTGTAGCATCGTGAATTGTGACACACATGTCAAAACAAGGCGTTTCTCAACATTCACCGCACAATTAAAAAAAAAACAAAACAAATATATATATATATATATATATATATTTATGTAACGTCCGTCCCTCTCATAAAACCGATAATTTTTTTTTGTTGACATTTATGACAATGACATTTTTAACACTTTGAGGCAATTGTTAAGATTCACTACGATTTTTTTTTTTGTTGAAATTTTGAGGCATTTGTTAACATTCACAGTGGCGGATCCAGGATTTTCTTCAGGGGAGGGCGCAGGCTTAGAATTATCAACAATGATTTCTTAAAAATTTATTTTTACTTTACTTATACGTTAAAGAATGTAGGTACAGGGTGGTCGAATTTGGACACTTTTGATATAAAACGTCAATTTCTGAGCCAGATACAAAAAAATTAACCCCCCTCTCTGCTGACGCTCAAATTTCATGAAATTTTGATTGGTGCAAACACTGCAAACCGCTTTTTGATTCCCTCAACCGTTTTGCCGCTAGAGGGTGTTTCTCGATTTTGAGGAATAAGGTGAAACCTCCCTGTAACTTTTTTATTTATGAAAATAATTGATTTCTGTATAAACTTTATAGAGGTACTTTTTCAAGCAGAATTCAATGATATACTCAATTTTTTTTATCCAAATAAAGTCATAGCTTACTAGAACATTTCAAAAAAATTAGTTTCATCTAGCTAATTAAGTAGGTACAGAGAATTGTTTTTTATTTTTTTTCTCGATAGAGGTAGGTGATACGAAAAAACTACAAGAGAACAAAAAGTTTATAAACAACGTAGAAATAAGTACCACCCTGTAGATTCTGGCAAACATTTGCTATTTGTAATGTTTGCTTTTATTGCGTAGGTAACCTATATACTAAATTTGAGCTCAATCCCTCAAAAATTGCAGAAGCTATAAAGAAAAAATATATTGAAATTTACACACCCTGTAGATCGTTAACGGAGCGTTCGCAGACCAAAAGTTTGTTTCATGAGTGTTTGTACTTACGTCATCATTTGCCGTCTTTTTAAACAAATAATAAATGACTGAAATGAATTAATGACGTCGTAAACCTTCGTCGGTTCTCAAAAT